GGTAAGTGATGGAGGTGGTGGTGGTGATGGTGGTGGAGGTGGTAGACAGAGCTGCAGGTGGTGGAGATGATGGTGTTAGAGGTGGTAAGTGATGGTGGTGGTGATGGAAGTGGTGGAGATGAGAGAGGTGGTTATGGTAGTGGTGGTGGTAATGACAGTGGTGCTGGTGGAGGTGATGGTGACAGAAGTGATGGTGACGATGATGGTCCTAGAGATCGTGGTGGAGCTGCCGAGGTGACAGTGGTAGAGATGATGGTGACAGAGGTGATGGTGGAGGTGGTAGAGATGGTGGAGGTGGAAGTAGAGGAAGTGGTAGTGGTGCTGGTGGTGCTGGTGGTTGTGGTGATATGGGTGATGATGGTGGTGGTTCATGGTAGTAATATTAGTTGATGATGAGAACAAATAGAAGTAGCACCATAATGGCACTGGTGGCAGTAGCAACAGTGATGGTGAGTTGGCAACGGTGGGGGCTACTGATGGTGGATGTCATACCGCTGGTGGACAGAGATGGTGGACATGGTGGTGGTGGTAACGTTGGTGAGAATGAGTAGAGGTGGCATTGGTAGCCCTTGCGATTGTGGTGATGAAGAGCTGGTGGTGAAGTTGAAGGGGTTAGTGGTATTGATGGTGACCACAAAAAGAGGCAGCAGTGGTGGTGGTGGGGACAGTAATGATGATGACGATGCTACAGACAATGACAGCAATCGGATATTCGGTGTTGGGTGTAATACTGAAATTAATGGCAATATAGACATGGTGGCAATGGTGTTGGTAATGACGGAAATCGAGATGTTTAATTCAAACCAGGTACAAAGAAAAAAAGCAACTCTAGATATATTGCTAGATACCTGGCCACTCAGACCAAAGTCCGTGGAAAGCAGATAAACCTACGGACAGGATCCCCCACCACAGTTGGATCCGATCTCAGCCCTCCATGTCTACGCCATCTTGGATCTGCCCAGGAGGGCAATTTTCAATGTGCTTTTGAAAGAAAGAAAAAAACAAAAAGAGAGTCAGGTAAGGACACCAAGGCAGGGTCTTGGAGGTTCCCTTAGCCACCCCACTAAGCCTGGGCCAGACCGTCCAAGCCGGCCACACTAATTGCCAGGTGGAAGGTCATCAGCTAGGAGTGTGAGGCTGCATTCCATGGTGGTGGCAAGGCTCCACCAGCCACACCTGTCCCAACCTCCCACGGACACAGAGCCCTCCCTGTTAAGGGACACTGGGCCTGTTCTGCCACCGATAGCAAGGTGAGCAACTAGGCCAAGGAATCGGAAAAAAATTTATTTTTAAAAAATGAAAAGAAAAAAAAAGCACCGTGCCTACCACAGCCGGCCCAAGCCCAGAGTCATCACCACCGCCAGGGCACCTCTGGGACTCAGCGGCACTTCTGACATTCACTCCAGCAAAGACAAGAAATAATTTGGACTTGAACCAGGATAATTCCACCTCCATGCGCCAAGGGTTTGGCTGAATCATGTCCATTGTCTCATATTTGATTTACTGGGGATTAGGCCCAATGAGGGCTACAATTAACCTCACCCTCTCTGACACCTCCCCGGTACCTTCCTCCGAATTTTATTGGGTCTCCCAGGTCTGACATTATGCTGATCAAGGTTAGGGATTAAGTGTGGCATCCATACGTCCTCTCCTTAATCAATCCTGAAATGAAGAAGATGATGATGGTGATTGTGAAATAACATCTTCCTAAGGTTCCAAGATGCTAAGCATCTCCTAAAATGAAGACTCTTTCCTCATATTCTTCCTCCTCTTCTCTCAAAACTCTGGCCACCTGCTCCCAACTGGGTAAAATAATCACCCCAGTTAGGATTTTCCCCGAGTTCTGTGTAGCCCACATTTAATGGCACCACTATGTGTCAGACACTGGACTAATCAGGGGAGGTCCAGTGATCTGCAAGTTTTAGTCCTGCCCTCAACAAGTTCTTAGTCCAGCAAGGTAGACAGATGTGCCACACATAATATAAACCCGGTATGAAAAGGGGGGTTATGCTGTTTTTTTAAAGTTTAAGATCAGAATAATATTGGGACAT